TCACACCCCTCCACGCACCCTTCCTCTCCGTCACACCCCTCCACGCGCCCTTCCTCTCCGTCACACCCCTCCACGCGCCCTTCCTCTCCGTCACACCCCTCCACGCGCCCTTCCTCTCCGTCACACCCCTCCACGCCCTTCCTCTCCGTCACACCCCTCCCCGCGCCCTTCCTCCATCCTGGCCCCATCGCGCGTCGCTCTCCCCGCGCGCGTGCGTCGGTTCTTACTTGTGGGTTTTGTGCAGCTCTGCAACCTTCTCCTCGAGCTCCCTCGTCTGGCTGGGAGCAAAGCGGAAGTCCGACATGTACTCATCGTTATGTTCGTCCGGGTCGTAGTCTCCTATCTCCGACTGTACGAGGTAAGATCCCAGCAGTGCGTGCGTGACGAACGAGCAGGGCAGCCTGGTACCAACACACGCACAGAGAACGGAGAGATGGTTAGACACACGCGTTAGATAGACTGCACGAGGTAGGATCCACGCATACACGCACGCATACACGCACGCACGCACGCATACACGCACGCACACATACGGGGAGCCACGCACGTCCGCACACAGACGCAAAATATGCAAACATGCACCAACACAGACACGCACACGCACACACACAGACACACATGCACGCACGCACACACCCAGGCACCCAGACACACACGCGCGCACCGACGCACACATGATGAGTCACTGCAATGGACTCCGATGCCGAAACATATCGGCAAGTGTACACAAGCACGAGACCACAGAAAACAAACGTAAGACGTATTATTACGCATCACGCAAGTATGCCACACGACACCCTCACGGGCACGTGCGCACCATAAACCGCAGACGAAGGACGAAACTCCTACGTACGTTATCAGCTCAAGAAGACAGAAAACTATGTCCACGTTTCCGCACCTCCACTTCCCCTAACCCCCCCCCCCGAACCATGCACCCGACACACTGCAGTTAAAAATTGCCTCCTCTGGAAACCTCTTCTCACACCAACAGACAGGCACAGCAGGGAAAAAAATATAACTTATTTTTCGGGGGCTACTTTTCAAGCTCGCGTGCATGAAAATAGCACTCTAAAATTTGGTTTGCATTGAACTCTATGCAAATTTACGGGGGCTCTTTTTGGCATTTCGGGGGCTAAATCGCCCCGAGCCCCCGTGTATTTTTTTCACTGAGGCACAGAGATAGTTATTTAGTTATAGATTACATTTACAAGCCTTTCCAGGGCCTGCCTGAGGTTTCTGAGCATGACTACTCAGCAGCACACGAGCAACCACTTAAGCATCTGCTAAAAACACTCCGAGAAAGGACAGTTGGTTAGCCGGGGGCACAAATGAAGCTTCGCATTTCTGTGTCGTAAAAAACCAGGTTTTTCTTGTCAAAGGTCGGCAGTGAATTTCTCGTCAGCTGTCTACGAAAAACTTCCCGAGCCACAGTGATACAGACCATCCACGTAATCACGTCGGCACAGAGAAGCCCAGCTGAAGCTCTCGTTAGTTAATTACACTGCAAGCGGTGACTCACCGTATAGACGGTGGTGACGCAGCCATGATGGCAGCCAGCTAACAGCACCTCATACGGAATAAACCCAGTATGATGGCAGCCAGCTAATGGCAGTGTGTGTGTGGAGCCTCTGCTGCTGCTGGCCTAATGATGAGGTATTGTTGGTGAACTGTGGCTGATGGGGAGATCTATGGGGATTATTTAAGGCGAGGTTAATAGGGACAGGCCACAGAGATGTCAGCGCAAGGCGGGAACACTAGGAACGGAATGCCATAGACCTTCCCCGTCTTCACCTGAATACTTGTCGTGTTCGTGTTTTTGCGGACGGCGAAGAGTGGAGAGGGGGGGGAGATGAGCAGGGGAGTGAGCGTGACCAATGAC